TAATTGAAAATTTTAAAAATTTCCTAAATTACAATAAGTACTTTTGGAATAACACTGCTGTTTTAATTATACCTACCTCAATATTTATTATTTTCCTTAAACAAAGTATACTCGTTAATAAATAACAAAGTATAACCGAGTTATTCGCCGAGTACGAGTATCAAAAAACCCACCGAGTACACCGAGTACCGAGTATCAAACGAGTATTCGGCCCATCTCTAGATGATATTGTATTGTAGGTACAATATCGTCTAGAGATATCGTCATTTGATACATTTTACAATTCTTTCCACCTGTTTCTAATTGAACCGAGCAGGTAAAGTTTTATAGTACCATAAAAGTTACTGTTTGTAACGTATTTCATTTCTTTTCTTTTTTATAATAAGACTATAAATTCTGAATGTGATGGATACTATTTTAGTTTTCGTAATAGCAGGCCTGGAAATGCGGCCACCTGCAAGATAGTGATGCTGCAGACGGAAGCAGCTGAAAAAGTAAGTGAGCTTTGGAGTCATACAAAAGTAAACCCAGGCCTCCCTAGAAAGCACTGCTAGGCTGGTGGTGTGTTTAATGGCCCTGCCTGAAAAACAATCTGTTGTTTCCCCGGGATCCAAACCAGGACTTCTCGTGCTTAACGCAGTGTTGACTAACGCGTTTAACTGTTTAGTTATAGAGTCCGAAACAAACCACAAATAAAATGATTCTAGTTACTCTGTACAGTGTTGGAGACAAAATACAGAAATAAAAGAGGAGAACTTCTCTACGAGTGTACGAAGCAACTGCGAAAGTCGATGTCAAGCAAGTGTCACATTATTGTGTAACTTCATAATAACTTTAGCACAACCGAGTAAAACTGATTTCGTAGTTTGCTTTGTACAATTAGGTCGTTCTTGCCAAAAGTAGTGAATTGCTTGTGCACTTATTTCAACATAAAATTGTTACCTTGTATAATATATGTTAGATACATCAATACATTGTAATTTAATTTTTTTAAATCCCGTTTCCCCTCGTGGGGTATGGGGCGAACACATTTCTGTGTCCGTTTCACTGATCGATTGTATTTACAAGCAAGTAGTTGTTCAGACTTCTGTGCCCTGCCCGACTATATACTATATGTCTATAGTTTACGCGAGTAGAACACATTTAAATAAAACACTTCAACGGTTTAAAACACGATATATTAGTTAAATTTATTTGAAAATGATTTTTAACTTCGGCCCGACCTTTCGAATGCTTTGCAGCAGCCGTGGTTACGGGGACAAAGTAAAAAATTGCTACGCTAGCGCTATCTGTTCCGTCGAAGTTGGTATTTGGCGAAACTGACCGGGTCCACACAGAATTGACTAACGGTGTCTTCGCGCTTGCCGGTATGCTGTTTATTGGGATCCAGAGTTTTTAATACGGGATCCCAGGTATTTGATAATTTGAGACCGCCCTAATGAAATTTCGGTGTTTTTTGATTTCAATTGCTTCGCGTACCAATTTTGGATAAAATCGACTCTCCTTTGAGAGGATTTTTGGCTGGTCAAAGCGAATGTAGAGATTGGGCCCTTCCGATGAGTGTTGGCATACCGCAGATTTGGAGAGACGTTTATGTTTTTTATCCGCGACGTGTTCTTTAATTCTGTTTGAACAGCTTCTGTTTGTCAGTATTTTTCCGTTAAAAATATACTATGTATTAATATTCTTTGTTATGCTTCACAAAGAGTTAATAATTCAAATATTGATATTTTGTATGTTTATAGATTTTTTTTTCTAATAAGTAGTTGTATTGTTAATTATTTATAGAAGGAAGGCAATACCAAAATATTTAAATAAAACACTTTAACGGTTTAAAACGCGATATACGGTATACGGCGATAGCTGTGGTCACGAGGAGTCTCCCCGTGACCACGGCTGCTGCAAAGCATCCGAAACGTCGGGCCGAAGTTAAAAATCATTTTCAAATAAGTTTAACTAATATATCGCGTTTTAAACCGTTAAAGTGTTTTATTTAAATGTGTACTACTCGCGTAAACTATAGACAGTATTTAATACCAAAACATATTGAAAGTATAACTATATAAACCCAACTGTGCTATACATCTGTACAAGTTATTATCGATGTTCACATAAATAAAAAGCGTAGAACAAAGTTATCTGACATTTTAGCAGCGCAGCCAGCGAATTGATTAGCCAAATTCTGTTTTACAATAATAAAAGTTCGCGATCGTCAAACTTCGTTTTTATCGTCCGACTTTGGATAATTTGTAAAGAACTTGCCAATCAATTAAGCCATTTTAGAGTTCTAAATTTAAATTGCACTCTTGCGGCTTTCGCAAGGTGGACAACGTTTTTGAAATACGAAGACTTTGCAGCGCACAGTGCTTTTGGGAAAATTTAAAATTTTACATAATGAAAGATGTATACAATATGTCTCCATTTTGATTGTTCTTTTAAATACCTAACGGTTTTATTGAGAGCGAAGGAAAGGGTAAAAAAATACTAATAAATAAAGCTTAAAAGTTTGTTTGTTTGAAAGCGCTATTCTCAGGAAGTACGGGTTCGAATTGAAAAATTATTTTTGTGTTGCTTAGAGCATTTATCGAGGAATGCTATAGGCTATAAAACAACGCCCTGTGTCTAATAAAGCGAAGATACAGCAAAAAATGTAAAAAAAAAGGGAAAATCATTCATCATTATCCGTTTCCGAGGCGTACACTGCAAAAAAAAATATATGTATGAAAGAATGATTCCTCTTTAAATGATCTAAAAAGAGTCCGCGACGTTATATGTCTATCTTTAAAGATTAACTTGCAAGAACGACGGAAAGGGACGCGACCGACGTCGTGCGTAACATCTTAAGTTTATAAAGATGAAGGGGTATACAAAAACGAATTTGGATGCCCAAAATAACGAAGCCGCCAACACAGCTAGTTGTTTTATAGTCTTATTCTTACTTGCCATTTATTTAAATCATAATAATTTCTCTTCTTTTTTTATCTTAATTAAACTGCTTTTAAATCTAGAGTTGAAATTCACTACTACCTTCTCTGTAGCTTTAACATTGGTTACATTGACTATCCTCTGTATATCTTCGCTCAAGAAAAGCGTCATCTGTCTGATAAAAAACCCTTAAGTGAAACTTGATTTCAAGCAAGCATAATCTTTCTTAATTCAAATCAACGATTTTTAACGCAGTGAAAGGTTTCAAGATGTTTACTATCCGCTATAAATTCACTTTAGCTCCAATAAAAACGCTACTTCAAAAACATACTTTATTAGGATTACAGACAAGTATAGACAGTAAAGTAATCACAAATAGACACATAAAATACATAATGTTGTAGTAAACGTTAACGACAAGCTATATACTTTGTATACCTCGATTAGAAATACGATACAGACACTGTATATACAAATACTGATAGCTTTAATACGAAGTGTGGTTCAGCTTAAAAAGGTCCTGCGCACACGAGCTTGATTTCTTCATACTTAGTTTAAAGCTGGATATGTATGAATATTAACTTGTAACGGTTTTAAAGGGCTAAACCTTAAATTTTTTTAACAGCCTGCCGTTTAGTTGCTTTGCATCTGCCGTAGTCACGGGAGATCTGAAGATGAAAAAAGTCAAAGTAAAAATTGCTAACGCCATCTGCTCAGTCGCAGTTGGTATTTTGATTTTTACGTTGTGTTTTATTTAAAACTCATGCGCAGTGTGCACAGACCCTAAGACACTCAGTCACAGAAGCTAAGCAACCATGAATAGTAATTTATAGAGATATCGTAAATATAATAGAAAAAAAATGTTATATTATAAAATTGATAACAGATTTATCGATTAAAAATTAAAATCTGGGACCCAATTCTGATGTATAAAAAAATGTCGAAACAAAAAATTGTTAATAATGACTTATCAGCGTCGCAACAATAGGTAGTTTATTTTATAATGGCGTTTCGCTAGCTTATCACTTCTTCTCTTTTTTTTGGCCTTCCTTTATCAGAATTGGGTCCCATTATTATTTGCGTTTTTATTGTTTGCCACATTATAGTACCATCGCCTTGTGTGAAAAACGAAAATTAATTAAAATGATTCTAAGCCAATTTATTTCATGATATATATAAATTGGTTAAAGAAACTCGTTTAATTATAGCCAATATCAAGCATTTACAATTTTGGTCCCATCCAATGCTCTCTGAATTAAAGATTTATAGAAAATTTATAAATAGGACAGTTATAAGTAGTAACTAAAGCGCAAATATATTTAAATTCAAAGCTTAACCATTCAAGAAGTAGAAATAACATTTTATATCTTATGTTTTAAATGTAACAGCTTACATTATTGTAACAATTCTAAAATTCACTTAACTTTGTTATTCTGCGTTCTTTGTAATCTAATAATCTAAAAGGGGGATTCGATTTATGTTCTGTGGTTCCTAGCTATACACTGGTTCTGATAGATTTTCCCGAATTGCCTAGTGTTCTCTAATAGAACAGAAAGAGGAAAATCACTTAGCTATTGAAATATTCACACAGAGGAACAAATTGAGTACCTATGAAATTATATTTGGTTATTCTAGCGAAAAACAATGATATATTTTTCTATATCGATCAAAACCACAATGTTTGTTAAATATTTCCAACGCTTACCGCAAATAAGCCACCAATTGTAGTAATTTGTGGCGAGTGTAACGAAAACAATATCCCCCACAATTAAATATAAAAAGAGCTACTTTTAAACAAAAGCACTTTCAACAAATAGATACGCATAGTTAAGGCTTTTTGAGGTTTAACATTACATAATATTGACATATCCCAATTAGTACTTATAGGACCAATAGTATATTTAGTGTAACAAATTATTAGGGAAAATGTAACTGTAACACAACGCATCGTTTTTGGCCATCTTTGTAACACAATTTAGTGAAAAGATTGCGGGTACTTTAACAAAAGGTTATCACTACGAGCTTTACCGAGCTTTTGAAAATAGAATTTAAACATCGCTTAGACACGAGTTATACTATTGTATAGAACACGACCGCTTATCACTTTGCGCGCTGGGTCTGACCAGACGATTTAAATTGAGCTTGGGGCTACCACCCCCACTGTCCCCATCACCTTTGGCACAGGTCTTCGTTCTCATTATCATCAGGTCTGTGCGAATGCTCGGCCTCCTCACGTTAGGAGCTACCACTCCACACGCGTCTGATAATCGTCTCTTTATAGATAACGTACATTTTTTACTTCTACTGCTTTGGCTGCTGGTGGGGGGTAGGGTGCATGGGCTGCCGAACGCGGCGTTCACGCGTTTATGGTGGTTCGGCGCCATTTCTAATGGTAAGTTGGCTACAACGAAGAGCTCGTAGAACAGGTCGTCTACGTGGAAATTCTTCTTGGCTGAGGTCTCCATGAAAACGCACGCAGTGTCTTGCGTTGCGCAGTATGCCGTGGCTTCCTCCGGTTGCACAGTCCTGTATGAGTGAATTATTATTTATATAAGTTTTCAATAAAATACTGTCTGTAGTTTACGCGAGTCGTACGCATTTAAACATACTTTAACGGTTTAAGGCGCGATATATATTATAAATAAAATATTTAGTCTCCCCGTGACCACGGCTGCTGCAAAGCATCCGAAACGTCGGGCCGAAGTTAAAAATCATTTTCAAATAAGTTTAACTAATATATCGCGTTTTAAACCGTTAAAGTGTTTTATTTAAATGTGTACTACTCGCGTAAACTATAGACAGTATTTAATAAAATATTTTTCAAATAAGATTAACTAACATATAACTATAAATAAATAATGATATATCCCGTATTAAACCGTTAAAGTGTTTTATTTGTAAGTCCCCAATATTTAAAAAGTTTAATATTTTGCATATGTTCTTGCAGATTAAGCTTCATTAATTGATTTCAGAGCGATGGTATTATATATTTGAGTGTACATTTGTTGAATTAGTTTAAGAAGAAATAATTGATTGATGAAACCAAACAGATAGAAGTAGAATACACAATAGAAGTACACAAAAATTGTTCTCTTTAAAAGAAATTACTAATATAAGGTGTCTGTATGTTACACAAAATAGGTCAAGAAGTATAAGCTTCAGACAAAGAAAAAGATTAATGCATTCTTTTCACCATTTGTCAAACTAGAACTTGGGATTTTGTTTTTAATATAGCATTTATGAAATTATGTTTTTCGTAAGACAAATACAATAAAAAGAGAATCATCTATATATGTACTCAATTGCATTATTTGCCTTAACAATAAAATTTTAAATAACTTGACCAAAAAAAAACAGCAGCGTGCCACGCAGTTGGACGTTGGTTCATATTGAGCAACTAAAGTAGACTTTATAAGAGATAATATTTTTAATTTTCAATATAAAGTAATATTGATTTATATTAGAAGGGCTCGTTGGTATAATAGTAGCATAGGACGTCTATTTACCAAGGATGGGTCGTGGATTCGATTTATTATTTATAGAATTTATAATTTTCTGAAACATATTGGACTTCGTCTGAAAATCTATAGATTAAATGCGTTGATTTCAATTCGGTTTAGTCTGTCCAAATATATAAAGCTAAAATAAATCGATAACGCATCTTGTTTAGATGTATGGCTTGAGTATTTCATCTACTCTGTTGTAAAAAATGTATAATTAAATTTTCTTCCTTCCTTTACTGATTATGCAAAACATTAAAAACGGAATTTCCTATGGTGATTATGTAAAAAGCCGTCAGCAATTTTTGCATCGCGTGACTGATAACAATAACATGCAAGAATAAAAACAAGGAACTATTCCACTCTAACAAACCATTCCACATTCGCTGGTTATCAGATAATGACGTGAACTATGGGGGCAGGTTGCCTCGACTACACGTAGTTGTTAAAAATGACGCCTTTCATTTGTTACTTTAGAGAACTGTATATTTTACGACGTAAACATTTGACGGGCTAGTCGGTATAATGGTAGCAATGTATGGCTAATAATCAACGGGTCGTGGCTTCGATCCCCATCGGGTCCAACGTAATATACCAGTTAAAATAATATATAAGTTAGTTGATATATTCGCGTTTAACATCGTTAAGTGCTTAATTTAACTTAGTACACTCTAAGCACAGACAATACTTTACAATATTAATTTTAGAAATAACTTTGTTAATTGTATGTAATTCTTATGCAATTATAGATAAAATTAATAAATGATTGAATTCGTAAGATTAACATATAACTACGGTGAAAACTTTTACTTTTAAATTAGATACGCATTTTTGAAGAAATGCTAGTGTTAATCAACGTACTTTAGATCCTTATCACACTTATTTCCAGCTATCGCCATTGGCACCCTCGGGGCCTGTCGTCTCCCACGACAGTTCCCACTGCTCGCGCTGGCCTTCGTCTCCAGGATCTGCTCACGCAGACGGATCACCTCTTCGAAGGACTCGCGGCAGTCCATCGCGAAGACTAGCACGAAGAGATCCCCTGGAATTAAGAAGATGCTTCAACAAACTGTATCGAAATGTATTTCTTACTGTATAAGTAGTTACGTAATTCTACAGTGTTCGAAAGAACCACCTCAAGAACCTCAGTCTGGCTTTTTTAACATGTCTTACAAACTAATACATTTTTGTGAATTTAATGACCTAAGGAGCAATTCATATCACTGCCAGGCAGTACTGTCATTAAAGAAGTATTTTAAACAATAATACGCCTTCTGAGACAATCAAAATTTTATGACTTTGGAAAAAACATCTTATGGAATTGGGAGGCAAATCCTATACTACGAGTCGTATTGTTGTATAAAATTATTGTATACTTTTACTAAATTTAAATAAAACACACACTTATTTGAAAATGTCCCCGTCTCCCCGTGACCACGGCTGCTGCAAAGCATCCGACACGTCAGGCCAAAGTTAAAAATCATATTCAAATCAGTTTAAGTAATATATCGCGTTTTAAACCGTTAAAGTGTTTTATTTTAATGTGTACTACTCGCGTAAACTATGGACAGTATTTACTTTTACTAAATTTATAATTATCAAGCGAAGAAGTTCGGTAACAGGTGGTTTGTTCCATAGGATCTCAACGTCTGGTTTCCGGTATTTAGATAAGGAACCCGCTTCCGCGCCATTTCAACCAGGACATCAGACGGACGGTATCCCAAGAAATTCAATTTTAAGTTTAGAATATTTCAAGCGAGTACGATTTCGTGAAATCGAATAAAACTTTCCGGCGTTCCATATTCAAACACGAAGACGCCGAATTGTTTTGTAAAGTCGTGAGGAACTATTTGAGACAGATGTGTAAGTGAATTCTAATCAAAGAACGATTTGAAGCCAAAATATAACATACTAGCTGTGTCAGCGACTTCGTCCGCGTGGAATACCTCTTCTTCATCTTTATAAATTTAAACTGCTATCCGACATCGACATCGGAAGCGTCCCGTCGTTTTTGCAAGTTAATCTAGGAAGATATAGTGTCGGACATTTTTTTGGTTCATTTAAAAAGGAGTAAATCTTTTCTTCAGTCTTCGCTCCTATTAGTCCCATCGCGTGTTATATTTACCGATGTTATGTTTATATAGCCTTCCTCGATAAATGTTCTAACTAATACAAAAATATGTTTTCAATTCGATGCAGTAGTTTCTGAGATTAGTGCAATCAAACAAACAAACAAACTCTTCGGCTTTATATATTAGTATAGATATAGAAGTGTAAGTACGTACCGTCTGTAGTCGTGAGTAGTACATATTTAAATAAAATACTTTAGCTGTTTAATACGTGAGATATAATAGTTAAAATTATTTTCCCTTAGTTCTTTCTAAGTAAGCTTTATAAAATGATTAACATTAAATTTATTTTCGCGAAACAAAATGGCTCAGCACTTATAAGTCCTTACTCGAAACTTTGCAAGAGTTCTGTAAGTTCTGTGGTTTACCACAAAGAGAATTTCGAATACTTATAATTGTCTAACGATGCGATGTTATTTGATCTCTGAGACAGGTGCGAAGCTGTTAAAAGTTATGACCGGAGTCTATGATGAGCACTTTATTTCTACTTTAATTTGGTATCAATGGCTCTTAACCGACGTTGCAAGAAAACGAGGGGTTGTGTTTTATCTCACTTCCAAATTCGATAAGATATTGGCAGTTAATTGGTTCAACTAACTGATAATATGAATATTTAAAATAATAACAAAATAGCATACCAATAAGCAAGAAAGTACCATAAGTTATTTCTATATGCACAACAAACAGATGGCGCTAGCATAGCACATTTTGCGTTGTCATTAAGAATCTCCCACCAAAGCCACGGCTGTTACGTGGGGCTGATACGGTTGGGCAACAATTCATATTTTCAACCGTTAAACGTTACATATTAAAATATGATAGGAATTTCATTAGAAACTAAAATAAAAATTATAATTAACACATCTTCTGCGCTATCTATCTACCGGATTCATTTTCCGGGATAAAAAACCCGTACTAAACGTAACCATGAGTCGGTGGTCACACTTCAGACCAGCCTAAGCCATCACAAGATAACCAATCTGCTTCCTATACGTGGAAACTGTGTACAAACTAGGACAAGTTAATTGCCAGAGAGATTGGCTGGAGGCTGGCTAGGTGTCTAATCTAGTCCCAAACTCGATACGCTACGTGATAATTAAATGACACGTGACGTCATCGAAGCATAAGATATTTGTGACGTCATACCATCGTTGTAACGCTGCATGTTATATATATGTAAAAAAGTAAATAAAAATCGGTAATAAGCTTTTAAGTTAAACGGTTTTATTTTTTTACATTTTAAAACTATTTTTTTTTAATTTTGACATAATCATCGTGTTTTACTAGTGTAGCCCTTGCATTTGAGACCGCTATTGAGGGGGTTAAGGAAAAATATGTAATCCGCCATTTTGTACCGGCGGTACACCGCCATTTTGTACCGGTTGTATTGTCATCTAAATTAAATGAAAATCAGTTTTTAGATTAATCAAAGGTGCTTAAATGTTATTTTCAAATTTTGATTCAAATAAATAAATTCCGTACAGGTCGAGCTAAATAACACCATTTAAAAGTTCCAATAAGTATATTTTTGTTTTTGCTTATAAAAACTTAAATTGTGCTGAAAGTATGAGATTTTAATAAAAGCAGTCAGGAAAACATCCGTAGACAATGTTAAAGCGTATATAATTGTTTACTCCACGTTCTCACGGTACAAAAGACAATTAAATTAATGAATTGAATTATTCCGTCACCGAATACGCGGATGTCTGCAAGAAGTTTGTTCTAAATATTCCTGCTCGTTCTGACAAGGGTATTGTTTGACATTTTCGCTGACAGCTCATTAAAAGGCAAAAAAGTTAAGGTAGCCTTTGTGTCTAGGTCTATTAATAAGTGTGAAACATCGGAAAGACGAAAACAACGTGACAAAGACAACATTTTAAAATTCGAATATTATTATGTAAAGATTTTATGATATTACTAGCTGCGTCGGCGACTTCGTCCGCGAGAGTCATTATTTTGCGCATCCAAATTTGTTTTTTCAACTCCCGTCATCATTTAAAGAGGAATCATTCTTTCATACATATTTTTTGGGCATCTTGAGCCGTTTTCGCAGCGTACACAACGTAAACCCACAAACATAAATAATTCTCCTCGTTTTTTTCACATTTCTCGCTATTTCTTTGCTGCTATTAGCCACAGCGCAATGTTTTATAACCTTCCTCGATAAATGCTTTAACCAACACAAAAAGCATTTTTCAATTCAAACATTTTTATATTAGTATAGATTTGCATATTAGTGTTTCATTTAAAAGTGGTTATACTCGCAAATAACTTTTCCACACGGCCGATGTCGCGGGCTTAGCTAGTAATATATATTTTATCTTGCATAAAACCTATAAGCGCGAAGTAACGAGAATTTACGGGCTTCAAATAGAACAATAAATTATACCCGGACATATTATAAACACTCACTGAAATTAATTGTAATTCATTCGAAACTAATTAAATTCGAGAGGGCGAACTATTTCATAGTTACCGAAGTGATGGTCAAACACGAGAGAAGGGTTAAACTAATTACATATTTTGCATTTTCAATTAAATAAACGAATTATTATTATTTCCACACGAAGGATGTGGTTCAACATATAACATTTAAGCAAGATGTGCTATCGACTTATTATCGGCTTCAAATCGCGATTAAAATTGAATTTTTCATCTGTGGACGGCGATCCGTGACCAGGAAGGAATGTCGATATTCCTACCACCAATTCTATGCCCAGATTTCCAGACGAAGTCCAACTACAATACAATGAAAGGCTTCTAAAATAATAACATAAAATAAAAGTATTTCATCTTTGAAAACTTTAATATTTTCGACATTTTATTCCACATATAAATTACAATTCGATTATATATAAATACTGTCTATAGTTTACGCGAGTAGTACACATTTAAATAAAACACTTTAACGGTTTAAAACGTAATATACTAGTTAAACTTATTTGAAAATGATTTTTAACTACGGCTCGACGTTTCAGATGCTTTGCAGCAGCCGTGGTCACGGGGAGACGAAAGTGTTTTATTTAAATCGATTATATATTGAAAAAAAAAAAATACGACACGAACAGTGTTAAGATGGAAATTACATTGAGCGAGAGGTGCGTGTATCAATAAGTTGAAAACGACGATTACGTATAGAACCCGCTAGTAATAGTAATAATAAAACACTTTATTGCACAAACACATAAAATACAAATATAGTAATACTAAATTAATTATTTACATTAAAGAGTTAGTGCAAAGGCGGTCTTATCGCCTTTGGCGATTTCTTCCAGGCAATCTTTGTACAACGAAAAGGAAAACAATAAATGAATAAAAGCCAACGAGAATGAGGGAGAAAATGCAATAAGTTGTAAATTACAATGATATCAAATACTAACACACTAAACAGTAAAAACTAGCTCTATTGGTTAGAATGACAGCACGGAACGCTCTCAATTCCGGTTTAAGTCCTATTCGAATCTTTTTCTTTTTTTTTCAATTAATAATCGATTTTTAATTAATCTTACCGGTGAGGAAGGAAAGGCGTCGCATTGCGGGAAACGGGTGATTCCCCGAAGTGTCCAATAGGTCGAGCTGGTACACTTCGCCGCGTATCCTGTACAGTTTGCGATGGAAATCCTCGATGGTCGGGGTGTAGCTGTCTTCGAACTTGTTCCCCAAGAAACGGGCCACTAGGGACGTCTTCCCGCCTCGTGCTGACCTGTCCAATTATTCTGGTGTTAGTTTGTTTCATTAACATAACTGAAACTTTCAAGCTTATAATTAAAATTTAGATAAATTATTTCATAGTTAAATAAAACACTTAATGTTTTGAAACGCGATATTATAAGTTAAACTTATTTAAACTACGGCACGAGGTTTCGGATGCTTTGCAGCAGCCGTGGTCACGCGAAGAATGAAGATGGAGGGTGTCGCTTATGTCGAAGTAATTAAAAAAAAGGTGTTTTAATAATTGTCGGTAACTTTAGCAAGTAGTACACCTAAAAAAAACCTTAACGGTTAAAACGCGAAATGTATTACTTAATACTGAGCTTATTTACAAATTATTTGAACTACGACAATACATACAAAAATATTACAAAATATTTACTACCGACGTTTTGGATGCTTTGCAGTAATCGAAAATGGGCTTGCTGAGTATTTCCTTTTTAAACCGTTAAAAAGTTTTTTATTCAAAAAATATGTTTTGCAGTATCGTATATCTGTATATAAACTAGGCGCAAGCGTTCCAAATATAAACAATACTAAATCTGTAATACTCTGTTATCTTTCATCTATACATATATTATACAGCTGCATAGTTTGTTGTGTTTGGACGCACTAAAATCATACAATAATAGTTCGAATTGAAAAATTATTATTGCGTTGGTTAGAGCATTTATCCAGGACGTGGACGATGTTGTAGGACAGATGGGGAGGAGGTTTGCAAAAACAAATTTTGCCTCCCCAAAATAACTATTCCACGCGGTCGAAGTCGCGGGCACAGCTAACGTCCAATAAGAAACACCGGAACAAGAAATGAAACTCTAATTTTATAAATTCCGACCAACAGTCAACACTCAACATTAGCAAAAGTATGAACGAGGCAATACAATAATAAATCAGCAGGAATTTAGATATAAAAGAAACTTCGCATCTCATTCGAATAACCTAGAAAGGCAAAATGAATTTTCCATTTAAAAAGAAAAGAATCTTCGGGAGATATTTCGCGTCCTTTCGGCTCTTGTAAAGCACTCGAATACTTTTTTACCGTCCCTTAAGACGTTTCTGGGAATAAGATCCTGAACCTGCTATCGTAAAATATGTTTGTGACTTTGTCTTCTGCCAATATATATTCTCAGTTTCACAAACGCTTCCTTCGGTGTATTGATAAGAAAATAACCTAAGTTATAACTTATATAGTTTGTGGATTTACAAATATCTAAAGCCGAAATAGGCCAGCAACGCATCGTGATTAGATCTTATCGATTCTGGTTCTCCTCTATTTTAAAAGAAAAACTTAAGTCTTTAGTCTAGCGTGATAGATTAGCTAAGGGAACATGTCCCAGCATTTGATTATATTTGGTGCTTCATAATCAAGTTACGTTCATCTTTTCTTAAATGTTGGTTAATACGTGAAACCCTATTATTCTCTGTGGGACATGGGGCAAACACGTTTTTGTGTCGAATTCACTGATCGGTTTTATTTACAGGCAAATAGTTGATCAGACTTCTGTACCTTGCCGAGACAGTCTATTGTTGCCCCAGGCTTCGAACCCAGGAACTCTCGCGCTTAACGTAATGCTAGTCAATACGTTTAACTATCTACCTAGAATGATTGTAGATGGTGGCTCATGGAATAAACGTAATAATTTTATGTTTATTGTTTATATTAACATTGAATTCGTCAGTAAAATGCCCGACAGAGCAGCGTCTTCCTAAAACATACAAATGTCAACGGATTTATTAAGTCGACGTGCTCAATAAATCAGTCTTTTGAACGACCCTAAGTGTTTACTTGGGTCCACAGTCTTGACCTTAACGGGGTACAAATATTGGCGAAGAATTATCATACTAAATTAATTTTATCTACCCTTCGCATACAATCCTTTTTGAAGTGTACGAAAATAAACAGAGACATTTCTCCACACAAGCGTTTATAAGAATGTATGTTTTAATTTATTCATTTATTTTAAATGCAAAACAGCCGCTGTCAAATAAGTAATTATTTAATTTTGTAAAAAATTATTTAAGTATCATACATGTTGTAATTATTAATTTTATAAATGAATAAAAAAACTTATTCAGAACAGTTAATAAAGCTGGAAATTTGCGTCGAAACTATCTTTAAAACAATTTAAAAGATAACAATCTTTACCACAGTAGTGTCTCTCTTTCAAATAAAAATCAATTTATAAATTGAAGTAAACATAGTATTATTAATTCTAAACAACAAGACATTTGAATAAAACACTTCAGCGGTTTAAAAGGCCATGTATTTTAGCCCGACGGATCCCCTTGACCACGGCTCCTACAAAACATCGGGCTTTGCATTGTAGTAAAAGCAAATTTCAAACAATTTTAACTAATATATATCGCGTTTTAAACCGTTAAAGTGTTTTATTTAAATACGGCCCGACGCTTAATATTAATAATTTCTTTTTCTCCCTGATGTAAAAATTGGTACTTAATGACAATAATATTAAAAAAAAGAAACAAACCAATGATCTACAAACAATTATGATTCTATAGGGCAACATCATTAGAGAAACCCCAGTCTCTTGTTTCGAATTCAATTATGGAACCAAAAAAACAGAACCACACAATTTAGTTAAATTCGATCATTATCAATCCAATTAAGGACCAATTAATCCGGCTTAAGGAAAAATAAAATTAATAAAACGATACTGTCTAATTATAAATCTCGTATTTTCGTTCACCTTTTTAATAACTATTATTGAATAAGTTGGCAGGCGCCGTAGCTTAATGGTTAAATGAATGGCATTGCCTAATGGACCTCAGTTAAATACCGGTGAAAAAATAGTTCTGCCGTAAAGGGCATAGAAGTTAGATCCACTGTAAATAAATGGTACAGTGGAACAAATGCAGAAATAATTTTGTAACTTCTCCCATAGAGTCGAAATCACAACGAAATTAATAACAACCATTAAGAAACGTAATGTAGAACTTTAATATTTTATATATTTTAGATTCAATTTAACCTACAAAGATAAAACAAAGAAAGTAGTTTATTTGTCATTTTAATACTTGGGATGAAATATTGGCTCAAGTGTTACTGCTGAAACTGTAACATACAAGAACATTTGAATTTTCGTTCGCTTTAACAGTAATTTGTGAAGCTAAAATTAAAAAAAATATATAAGTGCAATATACGGACTTAATAACTTTTAGAAGCCGTGTCATCATGTAACAGGGAAGCATTTAATATTGGCAGGGCCACAATATTTTAGGGCCCCAAAAATTGATACTTCTATTAAACCAATATCCACCGTATATACTAAATAAGAAAACACGCTGAAATGAAACATTTTTAACGGTTTAAAAGAGTTAGGTAACTTATTTATAATGTTTAGGCACTCTCTCCATCTTCAGCCCCCCCGTAGCCACGACTGCTGAAAAGCATCCGACGTCATGTCGTAGTTAAAATTGTAAATAAGTTAACTAATACATTCTGCGTTTTAAATCGTTTAAAGTGCTTTATTTAAGTAATAAATACATTTTACGTCCACTCGTAATAGTTAGGTCATCACTAGCGAGTTTATTCTCATTGTTGTATGCCCCGTATAACTGGTTTGAGTATGAAAGATATTTTGATATTAATTACAAATTCGATTGGCGTTCATAAAGGTACTAAACTGCCACAAAAAATGTCTGATTTCGTAACAAATTTTACAGGCTTTATACCGTAAGTGAGTCTCTGTGCTATTCAGCTGTGTCCCATATTATAGCATCAGCCTGTATATTAGCCAGCCCATCTCCGTGAGGCTAATCTCCTTGCACGAGGGCTCACCGGTATAACGTTAATTGGTTCTAGAGCTGTGAAGCATGCACGTTCATCATTTAAAAAATATAACCACTTTTTCACTACAAAGGACTTTTCATCCGTCTAGTTTTAGATTGAACTGACATTTTGAACATCCACCTACAGTTAGTTGGTTTTTATTAATGTTTTATTTCTAAGTCCTGTGGGGTAGACATTTATTTATTCATTTACATAGACACATATTTCCTACCATTACAGATAAAATCCAATTCGACAGCAATACAATAATACTACATAATTATATTATACTAGCTGTGTAAGCGATTTCCTCTGCGTAGAATTGTTATTTTGGTGTACGAAATTTGTTTTTCCAAACCATCTTTATTAATTTTAGCTGTCCACGACATCGGTCGCATCCCGTCGCTCAAGACCTTCGTTATGGACCCGTCGTTCTTGCAAGTTAATTTTAAAAGATAGTCATATAGTTTCCCGGACATTATTTTAGATCATGTAAAGAGAAAACAGCGTTTTCGCAGCGTACGCATCTAAATCCCACAGAGATGAACAATGTCCCCCGTTTTGTTCACACTTCCCGCTGTATCTTCGCGTCTAGTCACAGCGCAATGTTGTAAAGCCTATCTTTCCTCGATAAATGCTCTAACGAACACAAAAATTTAATTTCATTTTTCAATTCGATCTCGTAGTCCCTGAGATTAGCGCGGGTAGAATCTTCTGCTTCATTTATTTAATATTTACATATATGCACTGTCATAACAGATGGAATCCAATGCGACAGAGATCTTATAATAATAAACAATATATAAATGATAGAACAAAAATATATGAACTTAAACCATACTATATTTCGTAACTCAAAATAAACATTGTATTTGTGAGTTCACCCCAAAGACTAAAAAATTTCTGCTCATATATTAGTGTAGAGTATCATTTTACCAAAAATAATTACCAGGCACATTTTATAGTTGCCAACATCACCTGAAATAGTGAAGGTTATATTAATTTCGTTTATATGCCAACCTAAAATAACAAACGCTCAATTAGGACATGAATAATTGGTTTTCTCTGTCCAAATTCCGGAAGCCTGAAACTGAAATTCTGGTTTCGTTAAAAACGAGTTTTCCTCTAATTCCTGTTGTGTAGCGTTTGTTTACACTAGATACTAAAATTGAGGTGGACGCGAAGTATTCAGTAACAAAGGTTTATTGAAAAAGTATTTTTAAAAACTAGTAAAGTCAAAATTGACGACGCGGACGCAGCAAACATTAGGATGACTAAAGATTTTTTGTAACGATAAATTATTTACTATAAAAACAGCGAGTTACATGTTAACGTAACAGTAGTTATACTGTCTGTAGTTTACGCAAGTAGTGCACATTAAAAAAAATATCTTTAACGGTTTGAAACACGATATGTATTTTTTAAGTTTAAACCGTTGAAGTGTTTTATTTAAAAGCTAGTTACGTTGTTAGTCGTGGCTTCGGGTCCTGTGCAATCGATTCGTTTTTTTTACATGTGTACACATGTAAAAAAAACGACACATATGCAACGTATTTACAAATTACAAAAATTTGAGATTAGATTAGAGAAATAGTAATAAAACTTATTATTGCATGCTTTTAAAAACATTTAAACAATAGTAAATTATCAAAGAATGTGATCGCCTAAAAAGTATAATAAGTAAGAGAAATAAAAGAACACTCGTAAATATTTTCTTTGTTTAACTGTTTAATTCTAAAGCGAAACATTACACAATGAAGTCGTTTCCGCATAGAAAACGTGATAAAATGTAATAGTTCTACTGGTTTAAGATGTAACTGTACTACGTGACAACGACTGCTGAAAGTCGACCAGTCGTAGTTAAAAAATATCTAATTATATTACAGACAGTATTTAAATGTTTAAAAATGGTTTGAAACAAGAAACTGATTTAAAAATAATTTTAACTACGACCCGACGTTTCAGATGCTTTACAGCAGCCGTGGTCACAGAGAGAGAGAGGAGGAGGATGGAGGGTATCACTAATGTAAATGTAAAAAAATAGTAAGGCGTAGTTACTTTCTACTACTAGGCGTATATGTAAATAAGTTTAACTAATTCATTTCGCGTTTGAAACCGTTAAATTGGTTTTATTTAAAAATATGCTATATCAATTGAGTCTTAAACCATTGTAGGTTTTATTTGTATAGAGAATACTTAGATAATCCTAAAGTAATGTTCATAAATGTGTAATGTTAAGTTTTCACCATTCGTATTCAAATGGTAAAGAGATTGAAAATCTTAATATTAAAGTACTGTATAGATTTAGGCTCTAATTAAGAAAGCTTAGTACTAAAATAATTAAAGCAGATAAGCATCGGCTTAGACCTGTTCGCGACAATTCTATGCAAAGTAGGTAATCGATTAGGATTAAAGGTATAAAACAAAGGGAACCCTGTCCCTGCAAAATGAAATGGTTGAATAATGACAGATGAGCAAATCAGTGAATGTCAAGCCCACGCTGTGTGTCAAAGAATTCCTCATACCTCTCATGCAAATTTAACTCGTTTAGAATCTTCTTCATTCAATTAAAAAAAAATACAAATCAGTTTTAATTACAGACAAATAGTTAAGTCTGTTTTTTGTTACCTGCCCGACGGAAACAATCTATTTTTTCCCAGGATTCGAGCCCAAGACCTCTCCTGCTTATCGCCATGCTAGGTGCGTTTAACCAGTTAGCTAGAGATACTGTTTTGGATATAGACTTTGTTAAAATAGGTGTGAAAAGAAGTTACACTTCTTTTAAAATAAAGATGTAAAACTTGCAATGTAAAAGTGAGTAACCAAGCATTTGTCTATGGAGTGTTTAAACAAATATTAACTTACTACCCTTTTACGTAAATAAACATTAATATAGAAGCACATTGCGTTTTATATGTATTATGCGTTATGGTGTCTCCATCTTTTGATCTTTTTTGGCATTCTTCGACCCAGGTTTAAGACAAAATTGACGGGCCCGTTGATGTAATGGTGTATGACTAATAATCTACGAGGGTTCGATTCCCGCCAGCCAATATGTTCGTCTGGAAATCTGCATATTAAATGGGTGGTAGGAATATCGAAATTCCGCTCGTCTGTCGGCAACTACCATCCACAGATAAAAAAGCCGCCGAATGTAATCGCGTTTCGGTTTCAGTCTGTGGACGTCCGAATATCCAAAGCGAAAATAAGTCGACAGCGCATCATGTTTAGATGTTGTATGGCTGAGGTATGTCACCTACGATCAAGTAAACCACATCCTTTATCACAGAAAAAATGTGCTGTTTGTATGGACACTTATGACTAACTATAATATGTATGACTTCTTTATCGCTATGTTAGTGAATGTCACTTAATTAATTATAACGAACGAGGTATAAACAAGTACATTTTTAAGCCCTATAAAGTATTCCGTAACACACTCCACTTTGGAGGGGTATAAATTTTAAAGAAACTCACGGACGCCGTCGTTTACGTCGAGTGTTCATGATAACGTGGCTTAGTCAACAAAGTTAATATTTAAGCAGCCGAAGAGTCCGTGTTTACTGCTCAAATGTACGATACACCGGAACACGTCGCCGGAAGTTTTAAATTAGTATCTTTTAAGGTCTTGATGTATTGGTGTAAATAATTGAGAAAATTACGTCCTTACAATTTCTATTTTGAATATATTAAGACTTATATTTATAACTTCCTACTCCTTAATAAAATTAAACATTTGTTTGTTCAATAAATGTTATTTTACGTGTCGAATACAAATTTGAGTATATTTTTAGTAGCGTCTGAAATCACAATAACACACTATCGTGCCACGCTGAGTTTAGGCAATTGGTGAAAGCGAAAACATACGAGTACATAGACACAAACAAGAGTTTTTAATTGTTATTTTTGTGACAAACTATATTTATTTATTTATTATAGCTTATATGTAAATTTCTTTAGATTACCTCGTAAGACGTCGTGGGCAACAGATGTAATCTATAAAGCTGAGGAGTTTATTTATAACAAAATAACTATCATACCCGAGCGAAGTCACGGGCAGGCCCATATGAATTGAACGAATATGAATGTAAAATGGCTATAATATATATATTGGCTATTAAACGTTACTGTAGTGCATACATATATTAAAAAGAAATATCACTGAGGTCTCCTAAATGTCGGAACGCTAAAGCACAATGTAATCCCGAGTCGCGTCGTGACGTGGAATTTGCAATTTAGTTTCTATCGCTTCGCCTGTTGATGGCTAGATTCATCGCGATTTAGTTTTTGATACGTCACTTCCCATTTCCCAACCTCGTTATCTAATCACGTTACAGCGTTAACCAAACATATTTGAAAACTGATCGTTCGATTTTTGAAATGGAAGTTCCAAATTTAAATAATGTCTATTAAGTAAAGACTTGTTGTTGCAACGTGAAAAACCCCGGCCATATTTTGGCTTTGGCTTTTTAGAAATCCAGTGTTGACAGATAAGCTAATCGATTTTCTTTGTGGAGAGTTTCTTTTTTACTTTCCTTTAATATTTCCTTGTTTTTGGTGGGTTATAACAATATCCAAACAGGCTAGGTCTCGAATCTCGAAAGCTTAACTAACGTGGGAAAAGAAGTTATAATACATATATAATCTGTGTTTAAAATTTGAAAATAAATAAAATAAAACGCATCATATTAATTCCAATAACATACCCGAGCATCACTAATCTGAAGCAGTTCTTCGGTGGTGGGGCGGATTCCTCGCACCCCTGTGGCAAAGTGCTCGGGCCTGGTGCTTCCACGCTCGTCTCCCCTCCATCTACCCCAGCGCCTCTCCTGCAAAGCCAGGAAGTCCCACATTTGTCTCGAGAATCCTCAGCGGGGGCCGCGAACTGACACTTTCTGGGTGATCTCTGCTTTCCACTCGGTGATAGAGAAGATTTTAGAGGTGATGACGGGGCCCTGACGGGGCTCGGTGAGGCTTTTACTGGACTGGATTTGATTGGTGACGGAGACACTTTGACCGGTGATGACTGCACCGATAATGCCCCAGAGTCCGCTGTACCGTTCAGCATTTTAATTTGATTTCATTTTTGCACTGTTCTGTTGCATGTTTATATGTAATTTTCTGTTGCAGTTCTTTATTTTGTATTTTTGGAGCAATTATAATATTGTAAGAAAAGTTTTGGTAATTTCACTATACACGTTACGTGTACATAATGCTGATAAGAAACACTATCTTTTAAGGTCTGTATTTGCTTTTTACATTTTAAACATCAATCATTTCTAAAATCAATATAAAAGAAGTGAAATATAAAAGTTTTCGTTTATTCGTTAAAATATTGTATTCAGGAATGAAGACAGCCTACACATACCAGTAGATCAGAATGTACTAAATGCAATGATGTTGTATTGAAATTATATGAATATTGAATAGAGAAGTGTTCTGTTTCAAATTCAATTCGAATTTATTGATCATAAACTTTGAAATAAGTTTAAAAAGGTTATTACTGTTTACAAATTTTTCTTATCATTGTACATATTAAAATTGCGCGAAATGAACTCACTTTTGGTTAAAAATCGGAATGAACTAAACTATCTTAACAATTAATTACCGGAGTAAATTTGTGAAACCATTTCAAAGAACTTCTACCTACAAAGCGAAAAGTCTAATTAACTTAAGAAGGAATAAAGTTAAAACGCTCCATGTTTTCAAATGAAGGTGAGTCGAACAGTCCTAAGTGCTTGAATAGATATTTTTATAGACATAAAGCCTTATTATAAGTTGTCAAGTGTAAAAAAGAAGTATGTTAAAAATCTATTATCGTTTGAAAAAAAAAATACGTTCCGGGCAGGACTTGAACCGGCACCCACAGAGTTCCGTACTGTTGTTCTAATCCATTGAGTTAGCGAGTCCTACACATCATCGTTGATTTTTGTATTTTTATAGTGCCATCATGTGAAAAATATTAGAGTTTTCGCGGCTTCGAACGCGGTTTAACGCGGGCTTCGAACCCACGATCACAGCGTTCCATGTACAAATCTCATGTAAATGTGAAGACCATAACACCGAGACAAGGTTTTTTTTTAATTTAGTTTGTTTTTTGTGGCTTAACTATATAATATTAAATACTGTCTATAGTTTACGCCAGTAGTACACATTTAAATAAAACACTTTAACGGTTTAAAACGCGATATATTAGTTAAACTTATTAGAGAATGATTTTTAACTTCGGCCCGACGAATGACCGATGAATCTATCGTCGAATGTTAAGGTTCGTCTTGCAGAACAAAATGCAAGATCGTCGCAGCGACTTAAAGGAAATAGAGCTAGGAATTCGCAAACGCGTGCACGGGACACTAACACTGAACGCTCGCAGCGGCTCCCGACACAGCGAGATCACGGTGGTTAACAGCGAGGACGCGCAATATATATTTTTTCTAATTTAGTGATTCATGGTCGTTTTAATTAGCATGCTTATAACTTAAATATTTGTACTTATTTATGTCTACCCGTGCGAAGCCGGGACAGGGCCGCTAGAGTAGTAATATTATAAACTAGTAGTACATCACGTCAACGTTGACTTTAAAATATATTTTTTGTTTAAGTTTTAACTTAAAATAATATGAATCGTAAATAAGTGTAACACTGTTTTCACACAGCTGAAATAAATAATTGTCAGAAAACAATAACATTTTGATAATGTCGGACACGCAATGGTGGAAAATCGAATAATCGTAAACCAATTACGTAAATCGGTCAGATAACATCATAATATGGATAATAAACCAGACACAGAGAGTGGATAAGTCTGCTTGTGGAGAGCTGGTAAATAATCACATTTACAACTCCACTTTTACTAGAGTAATGTAAGATTGAATTGTTCTCGAAGAAAAATAGATTTTCCAATGAGAGCATCACCAAGTAACCAAGATTTCTTATAAACAACTCGAAGAGTGACTATTTCGCCACAACAGTACAACAAACAAGCTATATAAGCTTTTATCAAACAGTTAATGAGTCAATAAATAAAAATGAGTAGTACATATTGAAAGTAAAATACTTTTAACGGTTTAAAACTTGCTTGCATCCGAAACGTCAGGCCATAGTTAAAATAATTATCAAGTAAGTTTACCTTATATGGATCGCGTTTTAAACCGTTAAAGTGCAATATAAATGTGTACTACTCGCGTAAACTAAAGACACGATTTAATCAGCTACCATGTCAATAGATTGTTATTACAATATTGATATTTATAACTATATAGCACTAAACCTTTTTTGCACACCATCTGAAATGTCCTTTCGAGAGGTCCTAGGTTCGAATCCTGGAAAGACATTATTGATAAGCATGGAGGATTTCAAATTAAATTGATTAGAAACAAGATGCTGTGTGACAGCTGCACAAATATGTCAAAAGTATAATCGATACTAATATAACTCTTTATGTACGAGTATATACGAACACAACAAATGTATTAATATATAAGACAAACACAAGTGTATAAAAATAAAAAAATGTCGGTGCAAAGATTTACACTACTTCACACTTTATATTTTATTAAACATTCTTTTATATGTATATTATACATACATATGATCTTACTTACCGTGAAATAGAGCCTAAATCTAATCTTCTTCTAATTCCTAATATTCTTGTTAAAAAGACAAAAATCAATTTTAGATTGAAAAAAATTTTGGGCACGAGCAGGACTCGAACCGGCAGTAGCGTTCCGTGTTGTTCCTCTAACCAATCGTTGAACTATCGTGTCTATCGTATTTATTCATGATATAATTATTTTTATACTATTATGCTTATATCAAATGTATACAATAATTATTCTCTCGTATAATTGTTAGCTACTCGTAAAACAATAATTCGGGCAACATTTGAGGTTCCGCTTTAAGCAGTAACAACTGAATTATGTTCAGAGATAATGTAGTTACAAGGATGCTCTCCAGCCAAATGGAATTCCAGTTAAAATAATTCCAAAAGCGCATTAACTTTCTGGTGGGAACGTTTCATTTAATTTAGTTTAAAACGTACGGCTTAATTTGAAATCTGATATCCGTATGGTAATGTCGTGTTTCGAACAATTCCGGCACGATGATATTTTCAAATTAAATTTGAATTGGTCTTTTTCAGTGCGGTTTAAATTTAAATATCGCTGGGATACTTCTGGATTGAGAACATACGAAAGGTTAATTGACAGGACTCGGTAGCTCAATTGGTTTGAAGCAACAGCACGGAACGGTTCATACTCGTGTCGTATTTTTTTGAATATATTATTGATTTTTAATATATAGTACCATAATGTGCAACTACATGTAAAAATATTTAAGTTAGCTTAAAAGACTGAAGAAGATAGGACATGTTTTTTTCGCCTTGATATATTTAGTTCGGGCAATGGACACAAATTAAAAAGCCGTGAAGTTTAATCGTGTTTCAGTCTGTGCTTCCGAATATTAAAGGCCAAAAAAGGTTAGCACCGTATCTTAATTAGATGTTATAAGGCGCGCGTATTTCACAAGTGTACACCATACTAGTCTGGCCTCCGCCTATAATAAAAAATCCACATGATGTCATCATATAAATTAAAGAGCTATTAAAATACGGTATAGTTCATGCGAGTAGTACACATATGAATAAAACACTATTAACGGTTTAAAACGCGAAATATATTAGTTAAGCATATCATTGTCTTTCGGGCTGTTCGGCCGATGTGAGCGAGAAGAGGTTCTCGACGTTTCGCCATCACGTGTATACGGCATCATCAGGAGATGTTGACTCTTCGATTGCTCGAAGAATTAATTCTTCGAGCAATCGGGCCGGACAGCCCGAATGTGCTGAACGATGGCCGTGAAAGCCTTACACAATTTATATTAGTTAACTTATTTACAATTTATTTTAACTAGTCACGGGGGATACATATACTCCATAGTATTTGAACATTGTATGTATCCGGTTGGTCTTTTGTTAGTCGTCTACATTTTGAATGCTTTTCGAAATAGCCTTTTTAAGACCACAAAACACATTTTACTGTTTATTAGCTAGTTAGAAATCTGATGAGCTCAGAGAGGCCAATTCATTTACGGTTCAATTGAGCCCGACTGTGATGGGCGGTGGTCTAGAAACGTCCACAGATAACAAAGTAGCATGCAACCAGCTAAACAATAGATGTTGAATGCAAGACTAAAACATATTAAAAAGTCGATGAGATTAACCAAGTCTGTTTGCATAGAAATAATTTCATCGGGATCAACATGATACTTTAAACGGTTTAAAACGAGGATATCAGTTCATTTTGATTACGACCAGTCTCTCAGTTCACTTGATGGAAAGTGTCATAACATCTTAACATAATGCACTGTCGATCTATTTTGGCTCAGGATATTCGGAAATCTACAGACTGAAAACGAAACGCGAAACCTTGACTGCCTTTTCATCCGAGTAGGGGGGTTCATGTTGGACCCGGTGAGAATCGAATCCACGACCTGTTTATTCTTAGACACACAATGAGCCCGCCAAAATTGTAATTGCAGTTAACATCGTAAATAGAAGGGCGAGTTTGTTGTACCCGGCGGTAAAGTGCTCAGTTAGTTCAAAAGTAGGTATATATAAGATGGTTTCATCTTAACTCCTAGCAACTAAAAAAAGGCTTTTAAATATTTGTATTATTCGTATTTATATAACATTCCATTCAAACGTATAAACACCATTGAAAACGATGTCTTTTATACAAAACCCACACAAGCCCACACAGTCTAGTTTTTCTTTTACCAATTACTATTTTTCCTACATAGTTTTCCTAGAGTAGGGCGTATAGTTTCCTTCGCCGCCTACATCACTCGATTCGTTTAAATCCCTAGAAAATTCTGTAAAGGGTCTTTCTTGTGACGATTTGCTATAGAAATGGCAGCCCACGCTAAACAAATAATGTCTTTTTCCCTTTAACATATTGCGATGGTTGTAACTTGTGATGTTGTTTTGTTTTATTTATTAAAAACCAATCACACATCTTTACAAAATATTAATTCTAACACGATAGTGAGTAACTATTAAAATTTTAATAT